CACACAAAAACTCTTGATTCTAAATTTCTATATGTAGGTTTAGGACATGAATCACTCATGCACATGTGCATAGGTCACACAACTTTTGGGCTGACATGTCCATCAATTAGTTATGAAGCTATGTTGATCCGTCAGTATAGATTTTAATTACTTCCAATAAAAATTAAAACTAAAATTTTGACAATAAAAAGGATTTGATACTAGGTCCCATGATTCATGGAGAGTGTAATATAGAGGTGACATATTTTTTAATATAATTTTAATTATAAAATTTATATATTAATATATATTAAGAAAATAAAAAATTACTAATCTAATATTTTTGTTTGATTGGTAAAAATGTTTTTATTTTTTATATACGTGGTAGATTTTTTTTATATATCATCTTAAATATAAAATTCACATATTTAATATGTATCATGTAAAAATAAAATTTTTCAACTACTTTTGTGTGTGTGTTTGAAACACCTTTAACATATAATATAAATTTTATTAAAATTTATGTGTATAAAACATATATGTTATTTATATTTATAAAAAAAAAACTCAATAAAAATTTGGATTATATAATTTAATTAATAACTCAATGTTTTTATCAATTTAATGACCGATTTGATTTTTAAAACATTATTTTTTTTAATGTAATAATGTTTCAAATTTTGATTTAATAAAAAAGTTTTCGATATCTTAATATCATTTTCACAATTTTTTTTCTATTCTATTGTCCTTCAACTAGAAGTAGGGGAGACTGATGGGAAATTTTTACCTAAATAATATTTTTTAAAAGAAAAATTACACATTTAATACCTGTACAAGTTTATTTACTGGACTAGAACCTTTTACTGTACATGCTCAGAATTCGGTTCTCGGGGAACCGAATTCTGAGCTTCTATATATTTTTTTTTCTTCTCAGAATTCAGTTTCCCGAATTCTGAGCATGCATACTAAAAGGTTCTAGTCCAGTAAATAAACTTATACAGGTGTTAAATGTATAATTTTTCTTTTAAAAAATATTATTTAGGTAAAAATTTGGACTGATGGAGGAACTTTACTTTTACTTGTTGTTTCTTAACTTAAGATCTCTTGATTCAATACTATAAAATTATTGGTTTCAGCTACTATTAAATTATGAAATATTATACTTACATTCACACACATATTTATTTATATATATATATATATATATTTTAATAGAACTAAAATAAAAACTTCCTTATTTTACATAAATTAAAGCGTTATTTAAATCTTAAATTTAAGAAATTATCTTATATTGTAAAAATTTATTTAATAATTTCGTGAACTAATAGGAAAGTAGCTCCTAAATCGAGCATGGGTCTTCTTTACGGGGATTGTTCCGGTGCCCTCTTATTTGAAGGGGTTTTGGTGCCCCTTAGTACAAAAGTTGGGTTTTTAGGGGCAATAAGGTAAATTGATAAATTGACATTTACCTTATTGCCCCTAAAAACCCAACTTTTGTACTAAGGGGCACCAAAACCCCTTCAAATAAGAGGGCACCGGAGCAATAGCCATTCTTTACTTACCCAAAAGAGCCTACTCAAGTTTTATTATTTTAAAAGCTGAAAAACACAACACACCCGTCACCCAGATTTCATTTGATGGTTAGAAGTTAAAAACTTAAAAAGCCACTGAAAATGAATCATTGATCAAAATCCAGATTTGTGGAGAGAAGAGAAGAATGGGCGATTACCATTTCGTGTACGAGGACTTAGAAGGAGCCTCTACTCAATGGGACGATATTCAGAGAAAGCTTGGAAATTTGCCTGAAAAACCACCCGCTTTCAAGCCCCCACCTTTCACCCCTTCCTCTGATCATCAACCCAAAGACCAAACCTGGCTCGATTCCAAAACCTCGGAAGAACTCGAAGACCTTGAAGATGACCTCGACGATGATCGCTTCCTCCAAGAATACAGGTTCTGCTCCTCTCCTCCTCCCTTCTTTCTGTTACCCACAAAGAATAATTTGGTGTTTCGTGAATTTAAAAAGGTTTCTTTCGTGGTCGGTTTTGTTTTCCTTCAATGTGCTAGGTGGTTAATAAAGTTTGAATTTTTTCGTGAATTTGTTGGTGGGGGTTTTGTGTCGTTTTGTAGAGAACAATTGTCCGAGACATGTATTTTGTTTGTTCATTTTTCTATGTTCTTGAATACAGTTTGGTTGGGAATTGTTGTGGATTTAGGATTTTATAGGCAATTAATGCTTAGGAGTTTGCTTATTTACCCTTTTGTTATGTGAAGTTTTTGATGATTTATTCATTAAGTCGATGAGTTTGTTTGAGAAGTGGGAGTAGATTAGTTATGAGTTTAGGAGAAAGCAAAATTAGGTGATTTTTATGCTAGTATTTATTCTGCTTGTTTTTAATTGAACTGTTTTTCTGTTATAGGAAGAAGAGGTTGGCTGAGATGCAAGAAGCAGCTAAAGTTTTGAGGTTTGGATCAGTGATTCCCATTTCGGGATCTGATTTCATTCGAGAGGTTTCACAGGCTCCATCTGATGTTTGGGTGGTTGTAGTGCTATACAAGGAAGGGTATGCTTTAGGAATTTCTTTGATTCTAGTTTTTAAGGGTCATGTATGATGTATCATGTGCTGATTTTTGTTGCGATTTTGTGATAGGATTCCTGAATGTGGGTTGTTGTTGCAAAGCATTGAAGAATTAGCAGTAAAATATCCTGCAACAAAATTTGTGAAGATAATATCTACTGATTGCATTCCAAACTACCCAGATCGAAATGTTCCTACTTTATTGGTTTACAACAATGGAGCAGTCAAAGGAAATTATGTGGGTTTGCATAGTTTTGGGCGAAGGTGCACTCCTGAAGGTATTAATGTCTTAGAATGCATGCCTCCTCATTTTTGTTTGTTTTATTTTACTTTGATCAGTGGCCCTTCTTAATTTTGTTCACCTCTTCTTAGTATGAAAGGCATATTGCTCCTCAAAATTATAATTTTCTTTCACAAATGGAATTAAGGCCTAGCTGTTTGATGAGTGGCTCTTGTTAACTTTGTTTACTCCTAGAAATGATGCTTTTTATCTTTTACATAGCGAAAATAGTTGAAAGGTGTTTATTTTTGGTTGTGAACATAATCTTTGACTACATTATTATATTTAATACAATATTATATTATAAATATTATCAATGTTGGATTTTGTTATCTACCAGCCACCGCACCTTTTTACTTGTAAATGGAAAAGCATGTAACCATGTATTTACTGCTCTACTAGTAAAACTTGTAACTGTGCATGTCTGCCAGTAAGGCTTACGAGATTAAAGGCAGTATAAACATTAATTTCTCTTATCTAGTTGAACTTGGGACCCTTGATTGCAATTCTTCTTCCCTCATGACAATCCTTCTCTTACCTTTTAAATTTCTAACAAAGTTGTAGTGGTAATACTTTTCCAGACTTGTTCTGTGGTTATCTAATACATGGAATTCTTTGCATGTTCTGGAATATCAGGTGTTGCATTAGTCTTGTGTCAATCGGATCCTGTACTTAATGATGGCCATAATAGAAATGAGCATTCAAGAGAGGCTGTCATTGAAGGAGTCCGCAAACGGTTTATAGAGAAAGTTGTTGCTGATCATGAAGACAATAATGATGATTACTCAAGCGATTAACATTTTTTGTTGTCTTTGTTGTTGCTTTCTTTGGAGCTATTTGTGTTTTATGTAAGATATTTCCAATTGAAGAAGTGATCAATGCGAATGTGGGATTTTGTTCCTTCTATGTTTCTGATGTCAAGTTAAAACAATTTTCCTTGAGTCTATCATTAAAAAGTAAGTTCTTGTTGAACTCAAAACATATATCATGGTTTCATTTTGGGTATGTTTGGATTGATGGATTAGATATGGATCAAAATGGAATAGAATCACATCAATTGCCATTATTTGGAATTTGGATTGTTTAAGATAGGAGTGGGAAAGAATTGGCTAGAACTAATTTATTATCCTTTCTTCTTATCATTCTGTTCACATCTCTAAAAATGGGTGGATTTTATTTTTCCTAATCCATCATAAGTTATTCAATTGTAATGTAATTTTATTCTGTTTTATTCCATTCCACTCTACCCTATTCTACCTATCATTATTCATTAGAATATTTGATATCAAACATGGCCTTGATGATTTGTTATGCATATTTTTTAGCATTTGTATTTCAGAAAAGAAGTGAGCAAGTTAAAGAAATGCTTTGCAAGCATTCAGCTTCTTGGCTTGCATATCATGTATGACTAGGATTGAAAGTCAAATTCTGTGAGAAGTTATCAATGGAGTAAGACAAGTCATTTTCATGGAGGTTTCAATTGATAATTACCCATAATGAATATAGATCTTTTGCAATATCTAGTTATAAAGCCAGCTCAGAAGGGATCTTATATTTTGTATAAATTATCATGAGCAGCTACTTCTCTTGGAATTAATGAAGCCTTTTGAAACAAATTATTTGGTGAATTAGTTACAACTTATAAGCAAATGCTAATTGAGATGTACTGAAGGTTAGCCAAGCTTCTAACATCTTATACTCTTTTGATCGGCATTTGGGGTAGCGGGCAATTTGCGTATTTGAATTCTTGGGACCACTTTGCTGATATAAATATCTCTTTTATATAGGTCCTTGGGAGGTTAGCATCTCAAATAGCAACTGTAGTTCAAGGAAAGGTTAAGCCAACTTATGCTCCTAATCGTGATGATGGAGATATGTGCATTATTCTTAATGCAAAGGATATTTGTGGGACTGGAAGTAAACTTACAGACAAATGCCAGGGCAAGTGCTTTCCATTTATACTATTAGTTAGAAGCGATAATATATTATTTGATGATTTTGAGTTTCTTGTAAATCAAATGATTTTTTTTTTCTAGTTCAAATGCGTATCTTATATGAAATTCTTCCAGCAGTATAGACGTTGCTGTTTGTTTATTTGGTTTCTATGCCCTTAATCTTCAGTATTATCCCGTCTATTTTGACATAAAGTCATGGTATGTAGGTATATTGGTCACCTCAAGGAAAGGACTCTAAAGGATCAAATGGCCAAACATTCTACTGAAGTCATTCGCAAAGCTGTTCTGTGTTTGCTGCCTAGAAACAAATTACACAATGTAAGCGCTACCTAGACATATGGTTTTGGGAATTTCTAGTATGGAGTTTCATTACTACTGTGCACTTGTCAAGAATGAAAGAGGCATGTTCATGTTTGTTTTGGATATTGAAAGGGTAAATCCCATTTGAGACAAAAGAAAAACCCTTGAACAATATATAATGACATTTTAAGGGTGGTAAGTTATATTCCAGAATTGATTCCTGTTGTGGGAATCAAATCATACGGAAGTGACTAACGGGTAGCTGTTGTGGTGGAGAGTCTTTTGAGGTTCAACCCCAACAGTTTTCCAAGAGATCCCTACATAACATTATAAATTTATTTTACCAAGGGCATTCCATGATTTAAAAAACTTCTCTCTACAATTATACTTCCAGAATAATTGTAATTATAAAAACCCAAACAAATTCAAAACTTTAAAAATCTATTCTTTCAGTACCAGTTTTTCACAATCTTAACTCTTACCCAAACAGTCTCATTATTATTTGAAGCTGGAGTGCAATTCAAAAGAATGAAAAAGAAAAACAAAACAATTGAATATTATGGCATTGTGTCACATGGTAGTTGAATTGAGATACAAATAATGTATCGGAAAACTTATTTTTTGAATCGTGAATCGAATTGTATTGTGAATCGTAAGATTTATGATCAATAAAAACATAGTGTATATATATGCATACAAGACATATAAAAGCACTCTAAGCACATTTTAACATAAAGAAACAGAAAAAATGCAGTCATACATAAATATATAGTAACATATAAGCTTCAAAATACAAACAAAGATACAATTATACAAATAATAACAGTCTCAAAGCTAAAAGAACTGACTGCACAGTTCAACAACAAAGCCTCCAAAAAAACCATTGTTGTTGCTAAATATATGCATATACCAGGGACAGTTTGCTACTCTAATTCAGCAATATAGCCACAAAAAAAAAATATTAGTGTTGCTGCATAAACTCAGCAACAAGTGGTGCTACTGCCACACAAATTCTGCCACACAAATTCAGTCATACAGCCTCAAAAAATAAATACAAAATGCCCCTATCCAAGGTCATTCATTCCCTGGTGTAACCTTATAATCTCAGCCTCCTTAGCGTGCCTCATGTTGGGCCCGATTGTCCACCTTTTGCACCACCATAGTATGATATTGTCCGCTTTGGGCCCAAGCCCGCACGGTTTTGTTTTTGGGCTCCTTCCCAAAAGGCCTCATACTATGTGGAATGGTGGACACTTATAAACTAGCCAATGTTCCTTCATTTTACCGATGTGGGACTTGGGATGAATCCCAACAAACCTCCCCTCAGACCAAGGACCACATGTCTCGTGATCTCCTCCCCTCAAGCGATAATCCGTCACCATCT